GCAGAAACTCATTAGGATTGGCTACATTAGGGGTGTGTGGCCTAACATGCAAAGGAGTTCCTGCTACAAAAAAACCCTGGGTTTTGACAACAAACAAGGTAAGCAGAATAAAAAGCAAAAGGTGGGTGTGGCTGGATGAGCACACTTCTGGTAACATGGGGGTATGGCCTAATATGCCAATGAGCTGTGCTGTCATGGGTGTGGCCTAATATGCTAATGTGTTCCTGCTGCTGGGTGTAGCCTATTATGCTAATGAGTTCCTGCTGGGCTTTATATACAAAAAGAGCCCTGTGTGTACTTCTTTAGAAGGAAGAGCTGCTGTCCGTGTTTATTGAACTTGAGTATCTCCAATGAGAGGCGGCTTTGAGGTTTGGGATGGGCTTTGAGCACAGAGCGTGAGAATGAGCATAGAGGCAGAAATATTGGAGTCACACATGCTCCTTGGTTTCTGTTTCAGTTTGGGAAAGCCATCCTTCTCTGCTTGAAATGCATGCTGGGTGGGGCCAGCCCCTCCCCCAGCAGCCACCCTCCCCCCAAAGATTTATACAATATGGTGGATGGCCTGACTGCCTTTCGTGGCACATGCTATCAACTTGTCGGAGCAAGACTACAATGTGCATTATTGACACGACACCCCTGCTTCCATCCAGTAACGCTCATTACGCAAGCATTGTCAGCTGGTTCTGGAACCTTCAGTTGGCCATCTCTGAGTTCCTGCTACAAAAAGAGCCCTTCTGTGACAAATACTGATTTGAACATGCAAGCTGACAAGTGGGTGAATGGGTGGGTGCCTAGTCAGATGTTGGGAGTCTTTTAAAGAAGCATCAGTTTTGCAGTCTTCCTGCCATGGAGGCTCTACTGCCTGTTCTTTCAAAGCTCCTTGCTAAACCACTTGCAATACTCAGGCCTCCTTGCTTGGCTAGCGTAGTGGTTAGAGCACTGGACTACGATCAAGCTCAGATTCTGTCTCTGTCAAGGAAGCGCGCTCGTCGGGCCAGTCACACAAGCTCAGCCAAGCCTACCTCACAGAGTTGTTGCTGTGAGGCTACAAGGGAGGCAGGAAGGAAAATGTGAGCTGATTTGGGCCCCCACTGGGGAGAAAGGCAGGGTATATGTGAGGTAAGTAAATAAATAACTAAAAAAAATTGGCTCTGCAACAAGAGAACTTGAGATGTGTACTTCTTTAGAAGGCAGAGCTGCTGTCCGTGTTTATTGAACTTGAGTATCTCCAATGAGAGGCGGCTTTGAGGTTTGGGATGGGCTTTGAGCACAGAGCGTGAGAATGAGCATAGAGGCAGAAATATTGGAGTCACACATGCTCCTTGGTTTCTGTTTCAGTTTGGGAAATCGGAATCCATCCTTCTCTGCTTGAAATGCATGCTGGGTGGGGCCAGCCCTTCCCCCAGCAGCCACCCCTCCCCCCAAAGATTTATACAATATGGTGGATGGCCTGACTGCGTTTCGTGGCACATGCTATCAACTTGTTGGAGCAAGAGTACAATGTGCATTATGGACACGACACCTCTGCTTCCATCCACTAACACTCATTACGCAAGCATTGTCAGCTTGTTCTGGAACCTTCAGTTGGCCATCTCTGACTGTTGGTAAGCAATCAGGAATACAAGAAATTACCCTCTCCCCTCTTTCCCCTCGTTCCCTGGCACAATCATATTTCCGTTACATTGTTAAAAGTGTCTTAATTGTATTTGTAAACTACCTTGTGGAAAGGCAATAAGCAAACACATTGATAAATCTAAAAAGAATAACTCACAGGGGTTCCGGATCTCATGGCTGATCTTCCGCAGCTTGTCTAACTCTGGGAAATGCAAACAATAGGATCAGGCCTTTAACTTAAACGATACAAGGATGCCCACATTAAACACACAGTATTCCAATCCTCCCGCATGTCTGTGCAATGTGTAAAACTGAGCAAAGGGGTGGGGGAGCCCATCCAGTCTCCTCCTCCTCCTCCTCCTCCCCTTCCTCTTCTTCCTCTTCTTCTTCTTCTTCGGAGCAGCACAATGACGTGCTGATCCACTGCTGGGCCTTAAGCTGGCAGTAGCATGGGGTTTTTTGTGTGGCTTATATCCATTATTACCTTTGAGCAACGATGGTAACTCTGGGAAGATTTGGAGGCCTACCCTACTCAGATCGCCTTTGTCTGTGCAATTCTGGCGAATTTGAAACCTTAGACCATCTGATGTTTCGTTGTCCCCATTGGACTCAAGTTAGAGGCACTTATATTTTTCCTATTCTTACGAAGATGAATCTTCCCTCGCGACCTTGGGTGCTTTCAGTACTGTTATCTGACTCAAATGCCGATGGACTGATCACAGCTAATGTGGCGCGGTTCCTGGCTAAGGTTGCTGCTCTCAAGAAACATTGAAAATTTTAGCACCTCTGTAAAAATCGACACTGATTTTTAATCTTCGGATGATTTCAGTTAGTTGGCTCCGCCCCAAGTGTAGTTAGCCGCTCTGAGACTCCAAGTGAAGGGCGGGGTATAAATCCAATCTCTTCTTCTTCTTCTTCTTCTGGGGAGCAGCGCAATGACGTGCTGATCGACTGCTGGGCCTTAAGCTGGCAGTAGCATAGGGGTTTTTTTGTGGCTTATATCCATTATTACCTTTGAGAGCCATGCTGCTAAGGGCCAGGTTTGAGGCAGTCCCCTGAGATGCTACTCAGTTGGAGCAGCAAAATATCTTGCACCAGCTTTACCTGTAGGGTGCTTTGACAATCTCCCCACATTTTTGCAGCCTCAGGTATAAACTTTGGGTTCTCTGTTGTTATCCTTGGTTTGTAATGGCCTATGGCTAAATACAAATAAATTTCTACTCATTCAGGTATAAATGTTGGGCATGGCCAGAGACTCTGTGAGCAGGAAGGGCTGACTGGGAGGCATGCTATGGCCAGCTACAATGTCCAACTTTTGCTTTTCCTTGCTCCTCTTGTTGGACATAAACTTTGGGGATAATAAGAGGTGTGAGCCAAGGAGTAAGAGCCAAAGGCACTGGACAAGCCAGCCCACTGGATTCAGGACAGACACTAAGGACTACTTTGTTTGTATATTTAAGTTGTATTCTTTCCTTTATTTATTTTGATTTCATTTTCAATGTTGTAAGCCACTTTGGGTCCTTTTATGGAGAGAAGGGGCCCATAGACGAATATTCTAATTAAATTAAAATAACTATTCTAACTCACGGTCCATAAAAGGCAGCAAAAATTGGACCTTCAGCCCCTGATGGACTGCCACCCATATCTGGTGGCCACTGTTGGCTCAGGGCCACCTTAAAGAACCATATGAATGTTGCTTTGAAACCAAAGTACCTGAGTGAAGGAGACTTTCCTGGATTTTACTTGGTAGATGTCCGTGTGGACAGAAGAAGAAGAAAACATTTACCAATCAGCCTGAAGACCTGTTTTACATGTGAAAAAGAAGGCCTTGACAGACCCCAATCCAAGAATGGAACCAATTGTAGGGTTTTGAGGACCTCCAGTTAGTCAAGTGCTGGACGACTGGGTCAGTGCATGGGAAGGAGAAGAATAATTGTGGAAGCCACAGTTTTGGACCCAGTAGTTTGGGAGAAATTTGCGCCTGATCCCGCTAATATGGATTTTTACCTTCCTCAGTCAAAACATGACTGGCGGAAATGTCCTCATCCGTGTCAGTTACTTCTACTGAGTAGGTTCCCAGATCTCTTTCAGTACCATACTTCAGGAGGACCTTAGATCTAAAGAAAAGAAAGCAGAAACATACAAATCTAGGTGTATTTTTAGCAGAGACTTAATTGAATTTTCCAGGTTGGTGTATATTTATTTATTTTAAAGATTGTACTATATATACTGTATTCTCCTGAAACCGCTAAGGAAAAAATCTGTGTCAGGAAAATAATGCAGAATGTTGGAGTAGATGCAGAATGCAACTTCCTGAGAACATTAGCTTTCATTTGTAATGCAAATTTCTATTCCTTATGATCTAAATGCTTAATTAAAGTCAGAGGGGCAGCTGAATATTTCCAGTGACTGAGGATAAGGTGGGAGGATAGAGTTTCAAGTGTTCTTGATCCTAGAAGAACCAAAATAAATTATGCAAACTAGCAACCAGTGTTGGATAATTTATGCAAAACGATAAATTATGCAAATATGATCAGTTTTCATAATTCATACGGATTTCAGTATCCAGATTTTCTTGCAGAATTTGGTTAGGTTGGCCATATAATTTCTGCTTTTTGTAGTGTAGGAAGCAGAAAGAGCATGTAATTCCCTCTCCTTAAGGAATCCTGGAAAACTAGTTTCATGGAGATACGGCAGGGAACCTCCACTAAACAATATATAGCAAATCACCCAACAATAAATTATGCAAATATGCTCAGTTTTCATAATTCATACGGGTTTCAGAATCCAGATTTTCTTGTAGAATTTGGTTAGGTTGGCCATATAATTTTGCTTTCTGTAGTGTGGGAAACAAAGAGCATGTAATTCCCTCTTCTTAAGGAATCCTGGGAAACTAGTTTCATGGCGATATGGTAGGGAACACTAAACAATATATAGCAAATCACCCAACTACAACTCCCAGGATTTCCTGAGGCTGATCTTATTGCATGTATAAGATGTATAATACACACTGCACTTCAACAATATGTCGATAGCCTTGATGTTCTCTCTAATGTCATGGTCTCATCAGAATATAAATTGTGTGCAAATGTGGAAAGACTTTTCTCTTCCAAACCCATTCCACATAGGTTGCCATAAAGATTGTGATTCCTTGCCAGTTCTTCTACTTCTCTTCCACTGCAATCACATGGATTAGGGTTGCCAACTCTCACTTGGGAAATACCTGGAAAATGATTTGGTGGTAGAGGGCAGGGTTTGGAGAGGAGAAGATCTTAGCAGCAATGTGATGCCATAGAACCCACTCTTCAAAGCAACTGTTTTTCCCTATGGGAACAAGATCTCTGTTGTCTGGAGATCAGTTGTAATTCCAGGAGATCTCCACACACACCCCACACCCCGGAAGTTGACAACCCTAACATGGATACACTCAATGAACTGCTGCAGTTTCCTGGAATCTGAGAATGCAGAAGATCTCTGTCTGTGTTCTTTACACTAGCTGCCTATTATGGAGCATGGGTGGACTCTTTCCTGGACAATTGTCCATACTCAGACACCATCTAAAATTCTGGTCACCTCAAACTGTGCAAATTTTTTATATATAATGTTTCTCATTAGAAGCTGATGGTATGTTTCACTTAGGGTGCTCACCATTTTATTGGCCGTGTTCCTAGGCCTTTAGCAACCTGATACACTTTTTCCTGATGTGGAGCCGTAAAGGGCTATTACCCACGCACAGCTTACTGCAGATTTTCTGAGCAGTCAAGCCTTTAAACTTGACTTCAGATTCTGTGCCTGCCTTATGCACCACTATTTTCCTCCAGAGTATTTGTTCTGCAACTACAACAAAAACCACATTTTTCTTAATTGGGGTGGGAATGTCACTTGTGACGTGTGGGGTGGTGTCCAAAAGTTTTTTTTTAATTTATGCAAATGGCATATCACAGCTGCGCAGTAGAGACAAGTAAGTGCCTTCCATTTAAATCCTCCTAGTTCAGTTCCTTGAATGAAAGGAACCACAAGGAAAGGTAGGCAAAGAGGAAAAAATCATTGTGAAACTGACAAAAATGTTTTTCGAAACTGACTGGAGCAGCTCTGAAGCCCTCTGCCAAACTCTGGGGGATTATCCTCTGTGTTATCAGCCACTGTGAAAAATGGAAGAGTCACCTTCCTCCGCCATCCTCCTCCTTCATTGCCATACAAGAGCCATTTTGAATTATTTTCCCTGTAGTTTAATTTTTTTAAAAAACAAGTGGTACGAGATTGGCAATAAAACATTAATTTAAATCCACCAAAGGTAAGAGAGTGTACAGTAACACCAGACCTACATGCACTCATGGACAGGAGCAGGGCTGGTGTATCCATTAGGCCAACCTAGGCAGCTGCCTAGGGTACAGACACCAGAAGAATGCAGAGAAGCCAGAGCCCGTCTGTGGGGCCACTGCACTGCACTCTCTCAGTCAGAAAAGGCGCCCCTTCTGCGGTCCTCCCTCCAGATGCCTGGGCAGGGGCGGGATGAAATTTGGGGATGCCCGCCCCTCTGCATCTTCCGGCGCAGGCGCAGCTCTCCCAGACATAGGGCCACTGGCTGAGCCACCTGCTGCTGTCCTGCCCATGAACCTCCCTGCCCCACCCCTCCCTTGCCACCAGGATGCCGGCACTGCCTCCTCCTCCATGGCGGGCAGTGCAGCTGGCACTGAGCTCGCTAGCTCTGGTGCTGCGTTGCTGCTGCCAGGAGTGGAACCAGGGTGGCGGCAAGGAGGAGGAGGCGAGTGGTGTGGCCATCTTCCAGGCATTCCGGTGCGCTGCTGCCTGCTACTGGAACACGGGGCTGGCACGCACCACCCATGACCTGCATCTGGAGATGCATCCTAGATGCATCCTAAACCCTAGAGACAGATGAGGAAGTGGAATGAATAAGGGAGCTGTGGAGACACTGAGATGGGAAGAGGGGAGACTGCTTGCTGAACAACTTGGCTGGCCCCTTCTGTGTGTGTGCGTATACACACACACACACTGGCTGAGCATTGGCCATGGCCACTGCTGGGCTTGATTGTGGCAAACGACCTGATGCCGGTCATTCCCTCCCTCCCTCCCCCCTTTCGGAACTTGTCAAGGAGGCTGCTTGGAGAGCTGCCGGAGAAGCATGCATAGCAAAAGAATTGCAGGGGACTGCAATTTCTCACACAACTTTTTCAGTTTTTCGTCTGTCGTTTCACTTTTTAAATTCAGTGATCTGAGACTAGCAATAGTCTCATATTGCTAGTTTCATACCACTTGTCAGAAAAATTAAAACAATGAGGGGGAAATTCATAAAAAGAGCTTGTACGATGAAGGAGGGAGGATGGCGGAAGGTGCAGAGTGGGTGGAATGACCTTGATGTGGGCAGGGGAGTGGCCTTCTAGGGGTGGCAGAATGCACGGGGGGCGGAATCCGAGGGAATCTGTATGCTTTTAAATTACTTTCGGCTTGGAAGCAAAACAAGGAAAAATTTGGCACAGAAATGCTCTCAGAAAACCCGGGGGACAATGACCAGAAAGCAAACTGTGTGATGAAGGGAAGAAAATCAATACAAAACAAAAAAAAGAAAACCTCAATGGACAAGCATGGTAAAAGCAAGGGAAAACACCTGTGCATAATGGGTCAAAATGTTGTGGGGAAACTCCACCTGCTTAATTCCTGCATATGGCTTCTGTTAAAGGCAGCGGAGACAGAGACAGAAAAAAAACAATGGCAGCTCTAGCTTCACACCAAAGGCTTACTTATCATCCTTGTCGACAATTTCAACCCTGTCGGGTTTTGGAGGTCCTTCGTAATCCTTGGACCAGATAAACTCTGAGGTGTCAACTACTTCAGGAGCTTCAAAGGCCAGATAGATGAATCCTTCCTCATCTACCCCAACTTCAATTTCTTTGGTGCCTGCAAAATTTATTGTCACAGTGTTATCCCACCCTTCCTTCAAGGAGTTCTGAGTGGCATGCTTCATTCCCCCCTCCTCCATTTTACCCTCACAGCAACAGCCCTGTGAGGTAGGTTCAACTGAAAGAATGTGTGACTGGCTCAGGGTTTGCGAAAGCTGGGAAAGCTGCCTGCCACGTGGGGCAGGAAAGTCTGGATTTTCCCTGTCCTTTCCACACAGCAGCCATTTTCTATTTCGTGGTGCCCACTCTCCTCCACATGCCACTACTGTGTGTGTGTATATGCGTGTGGAGAGCTTTTTAGGTTAAAAAAGATTGGTAACTGACCTCAAACTACCAATATATTTATATGTCAGGGGTCCCCAATATTTTTGAGCCTGCAGGTACCTCTGAAATTCTGAAACAGGAGGGAGGGTACAACCAGAAAACGGCTGCCGCAGGAGATGGAGCCAGCCACAAGGGGCAGGAAAGTCTGATTTCCCCTGTCCCTTCCACACAGCAGCCATTTTCTATTTCATGGTGCCCACTCTCCTCCACATGCCACTACTGTGTGTGTATATGCGTGTGGAGAGCTTTTTAGGTTAAAAAAGATTGGTAACTGACCTCAAACTACCAATATATTTATATGTCAGGGGTCCCCAATATTTTTGAGCCTGCAGGTACCTCTGAAATTCTGAAACAGGAGGGAGGGTACAACCAGAAAACGGCTGCCGCAGGAGATGGAGCCAGCCACAAAATGGCAGGAAGTAACTCTAACAGGAATTCTTCAACATTTCAGGAAGAAGCTCCGTTTAACAGGATGTCTTTTAAAATGAAAATATTATTTCAAAATGTCTTCTTGCATACCCACGGCTTATATTCAGTCACACAATGATGATGCTTCAGTTGGGGTGACAGCTATTGCTGAAGCAACTTCTTATAAGTCTCCACAGCCAATCACATATCCGGTGACCAATCAGAAAACCGGTTGGGCAAAAGCCCTACCTAGCCTGCCCACTTTCTAAAAACACTTGGCAAGCACCAAGGAAAGGTATCAGCAGGGCCATGGGGCCCATGGGCACCATGTTGGGGACCTCTGCTCTATGTCTACTAGGTAAAGGTTCCCTTGCTCGAAAGCCAGTCAAGAGGAATTCTTCAACATTTCAGGAAGAAGCTCCGTTTAACAGGATGTCTTTTAAAATGAAAATATTGTTTCAAAATATCTTCTTGCATACACACGGCTTATATTCAGTCACACAGTGATGATCCTTCAGTTGGGGTGACAGTTTCTTATAAGTGTCCACAGCAACGTCTTATAAGTGTCCACAGCCAATCAGATATCCGGTGACCAATCAGAAACCCGGTTGGGCAAAAGCCCTACCTAGCCTGCCCACTTTCTAAAAACACTCGGCAAGCACCAAGGAAAGGTATCAGCAGGTGCCATGGGGCCCATGGGCACCACGTTGGGGACATCTGCTCTATGTCTACTAGGTAAAGGTAAAGGTCTCCCTTGCTCGAAAGCCAGTCAAGTCCGACTCTAGGGTTGTGGTGCTCATCTCCGTTTCAAAGCCAAAGAGCCAGCGCTGTCCGAAGACGTTTCCATGGTCATGTGGCCGGCATGACTAAACACCAAGGCGCACGGAACGCTGTTACCTTCCCACCGAAGCGGTCCCTATTTATCTACTTGCGATTTCTTGCTTTCGAACTGCTAGGTTGGCAGGAGCTGGAACTAGAGACGGGAGCTCACTCCGTCACGCGGCACACTCGGGTCTCGAACTGCTGAACTACCGACCTTCCACAGCCTGCAGTTCAGCATCTTCGGTTCAGCGTTTTAACCATTTGAGCCACTACTGGTCTTTTAAAAACAACCTTGAAAAATTGCCTCAGTTAGATGGAGATGGGAATGGCCACCATAGGGACTGGGATATAGGAAATCTGTGGGCAGCCCTGTAGGCTCCTTGCTCCTTTGGCAACCACTGCAACCACAGGACCTCTGCAGAAAAGTGTCGCCATGTGGAAAAGCCCAGAAACAGAGGGTCAGAGAAAGAGAGCAGGGTAGGAAGCCAAAAGCCTCGTACCTGGTTTGGTTTTTACAACCACAGGATCTGAGGGGAGAGAGGGTGGGCCAACCCCAGCCTTGTTCTGTGCCCGCACTCGGAAAATGTAGCACTTTCCAGTCTCCAGGTCAGACAGCTGTTGGGAGAAAATATAATATAATCAGCAAGAGTAGAAATGACCCCAGATGTGGAGCCAGGTGTGTGCAGGGAGGTACGGAAATCCGTACCTTCCCACTCACGTTTTACCCAAACCTGCTTTTAGTACTGAAGCAGGTTTGGGGAAAGTCACTGTGGCGCCTGGGAGAACCCAGAAGGGAGGTCAAGCAGGCAGTGGTGTTGCGTGGAATCCCCCAGAAGAACCACTGCCACCAGGGAGGCACGGTGGAGCAAGGTCTGTCAGGAAGCGATCCCACTGCCCTGCTTTGGCACTGCAAAATTTATTGAGATATATGTCTAGGTTGAGGTAGCAAGCAGTTACTGGATCTAGATCAGTATGATCTATGTGTAAGTCTTAGCTGTCATGCTAAGTGGTTAAGGCAATTACAGCCAGGTGTTAAACTACCAGGTGATACTCTTCTAGCATTGTTAGAGTAGGAAATTAGTTTATCCTGTTAGTGATTGGCTGGGGTTAGTATATAAGGTATCAGCTTGATAAGCTGGGTGTGGGGGGGAGTTAGTTCTCTCCAACTAAGGTATGTTATGCTGTAAGACAGTCTGTATATCTCTGTGTAAATATTCACCATTATCTCCAGGGCTATTTTTGGACAGGAACGCACAGGAACGCAGTTCCGGCTGGCTCCCAAGTTGGCCACGCCCAGCAGGAACTCATTAGCATAATAGGCCACACCCAACAGCAGAAACTCATTAGGATTGGCTACATTAGGGGTGTGTGGCCTAACATGCAAAGGCGTTCCTGCTACAAACAAAGGCCCTGGGTTTTGACAACAAACAAGGTAAGTAGAATAACAAGCAAAAGGTGGGTGTGGCTGGATAACCACACTTCTGGTAACATGGGGGTGCGGCCTAATGTGCTAATGAGCTGTGCTGTCAGGGGTGTGGCCCTATATGCTAATGAGTTCCTGCTGTTGGGTGTGGCCTATTATGCTAATGAGTTCCTGCTGGGCTTTTTCTACAAAAAGAGCCCTGATTATCTCTAAGTAAACTTTATGCACCTTCATGACCAGTTGGTCTCCAGCTTCTTCTTTACTGCACCCAATAAAATTATAGTCGTGCTGTGAATTCAAAGATACAGAAAAATGCAGCACAAACCTTCATATGGGTGTCGGAGATCGGCTGCTTATTCAGTTGCTCCCACGTGTCAGATCCTTCCTCACACATGTCCACAAAGTAGCCAGTGACGGGGCCGGCTCCAGTATACAAAGGAGGCTCCCAGTGAAGCATCAGAGATGTGTCCCTCACTTCCGTACACCTCACATCATAGGGAGGGCCTGTTTGAAGGATTGGGGGCAAGGGGGGGGAGAGACCACAAACCTTAAAAGGCTGGATATGCATTTTGATTTCAATCCCCCCTCAGACTACCTCCCCCCCCTGATTTTCCTGGAAGAATTTAAGGAACTGCCTTAGAGTGGCGGCCTAATCCAAATGGGCCATTGTCCTGTCTTATCTGAATTAAAAGAGAAATACCCCCAAACCCACAACTCATGCAAGGAAAGAACACAGTGCTTGTGGTGGAAGCTCCATCAAATGCAGGGGTTGTGTTGAGTTCTATTTGGGGAACAAAACCTTCTGTGAAAGCAGCTGCAGTGTCTACATCTGGGATGCAGGCTGCTGACTGCTCACCAGCCCAAGCAGCCCAAGGCAGCTTTATCCAAAGGATAAGAGGGACTGTTGCCCAGGGCCCACTGCTATCAGAGGCCACCTGCCAAGCTTATCGTAATGGACCACTCTGGCAGCAGCATTACTTGAATGGCTGGTGGTAAAACCAAGGGCAGGAAT